ATCTTTTTCGGAAAGAATCGGTACATCTGTATCTGTCTTTTATAAATCTGATAAAACTAAAAGACTCTTCTGAGATATGAAGGATGCAATACTACTCTATAGGTACTCAAGATTTACATGAGATTGGCAGAAACTGTGTGTGTTATCTACCCTTTAAAATCCTGTACATTCTATCCATTCTTACACAGAGACTTCTATCACTTCTACTATCACCTTAGATGGGTGGTGTTTAAGTATGATAGTGATTTCCCCCCTCTGACTCATTTCATTAGTTAAATAGATGGCGCATCCCGGGTTCCAACACTCCTAGCCCGGATGGAGCCATTATAATTAGCTTAATTTATTAAGAAACAATAGCAGTAGGTTGGAGTTCTTCACAAGTGTAAGCACACAAGTTTGTGTGCATGCTTGAGCTTGTGATGAGGGAGTGGGAATGACTTATTATAAGCAATTCAACAGAATTGTGTGAAAATGACTGATAAAAGACTTATTTATAGTGCTCTGGGAGGCTGATCATGAATGGATATGCTAATACACTACAAAAGGAAATTATGGAATGATAATTCAAACCTCTCCTTTGATGACACAAAAATACACTCTTGTGCATTAATATTCATATTGCTCCCTTAATATTCGACTTACATTTATGCACAAGCATTTCATGCTAATTGGTAATGTGGCACTAAAACGATCTCTGCTTGCATGAACGCCAAAAGTAGCTCATAAGTTTCTGTGAGCTCTAAGAAACTTTGTCTGTCATCGTCTCTGTTCAGAAATCTAAAATATTGGTTTATACTTATATTTCATTCAGTAGTATTGAAAAGTATTGGTAAAAAAATGTCCAGAAGAAATAAAAATTGAATTACTTAATCCATTTTTGTATTTAAACTGTTCACTTTTAGCCACATTCTAACGTCAATCTCTATTGAAATTAATTGCAATTTATTATTATTTAAATAGGAATTTGAATTGAATCGGCCACATCCCACGGAAGTTGAGTTGGACTTTGAATTTGAATGACAGGAAAATGACTGTAATGAATCTCTGAGTGCAGCAGAGATTACGTATTTTTGTAGGCCAAAATCTGGAATTGAGTTAGCATTTTAGCACTTCCAATTCCTTCGTCCCAAAGTTAATGGATTTTTTTGAATGGGTTTCTGGTTAAATGCCTAAAATAAGGTCTGTGATGAACACAAGCTCAATATATTTCTACAACATAAAATACATTAGTAATTCCCCCTTTTGAGTTCTTAAAGCTTTTGTCTTCAAAAAGGCAGATGCTAACAAGTGGCTAATGCTAATAAGACTGCAGTGGTTGTCAGGGACATTGAACGTCAACACGTCAAACGGGAAAACTGTCTGCTTTCATAGCCTTGTTGTATTTTAGCACTCTTGCAAACTATTTCAACTCAAACTTTTAGGGAAATGTTTTTTCATGTGATCGTGGTGTAGTTCGTTTACAGCCTATGTTTAGCTTTTACTTCTTGCGATCGTATTTAGTCTTCAAAATTCATAAATGTTGTGTTCATTTGTGAAGATTATCATGATGAACAAAATGTGTAAAGGCCTGTTCAAAACAAGAACGGCAAAGATAACTATAGCATCCACACCAACGAATATTGTTCTGTTTATTATGAGCAGTCCTGTTAATCTGCTGCTTTAAAATCAGATGGTTTCTGATTGGCTGTCAATCTTTTATTGTTCATCAGCTGTGTTGTTATGGTTATAGATGTGGTGTTTAAAGATTTTTCAAACTATATCTTTACCGTTATTGTTATTATTGTCCTTAAAGGGGTCATCAGATGCAAAATCCACTTTTATATGGTGTTTGCATATAAATGTGTCTTTGCAGTGTGTGGACGCAACCACCATACAATGAAAAAAAATCCATTCACTCCTTTTTTTATCCTCAAAAAGTCTAAACACTCTCAATAATCAAGCCGTTTGGATTTTCTGAGCAATATGATGTCATATTGCTCATGCTCCGCCCACGAATACTGACAGACTGTCCCGTATTAGCATATTTCCGCCCTCTGCCATTTGTATACTGTCCGCCAAGGCAGGTTGCCATGGCAGCACTTTACGTGTCTTGTGTCGACATGCTCCACGGAAGAGAGGGCTGGGCTGAGCAGTTGCTCATTATCATTTAAAGAGACATACACTGAAACAGGTCGCTGTGAACAGAGCTGTTTTTGAGGAGGTAAAAACCATTGAGGAATTTTAATCAAAGTATGTTACAAACTTTACATGAAGACCCTAAAGAATCAAACCAACTTGTGGAAAATGGGCATCCGATGACCCCTTTAAGAATCATAAACTTTTGTTGGATAGCTTATTTTCTGCAATAATCCAAATCGTTTCAGTAACGAGTAACGAATTGAGTTCCCTTTCGCGTCTTCATATGCTTGAATATTTCAATTGCCAAGGCTTAAACTTTCGTGACGATGCAGCGCTGGCGCATCAACTGTCCCGAGCGTCATTCACGTTAATGTTCTCACAACATTGCATTGTTAGAATTCATAAAAATGTTACCGTCCAACTGGCGATTGACACAGTTTCATATACCCGCCAACACTGATTTTTACTCGCATTTGGCGCTTGGCGAGTGTTCATTTTAGGCCCTGCCAATAGTCCACCCTAGTCCACAAAGGTTGATTAAATAAGTACACTTGGGGAAAAAAAACGATTTATTTATTTAATCATATTCAATTGAAATTCCTCAACTGAACTGGAATTTACACAACATTCCCAATTCCGAATGGCGCACAAGTAAGTTTTGGAGCTATTGTGAACTGTGCAGTGTAATCCTATTTGTTGGAGGTGAGAGGCTAGATTGTCTCTCACTACGGGTCCTCTGCCCTCCCCGGTTTCCCTGTCACCTCATTCCTGATGAGTCTGTGTTGTTGATGTTTTCTGGAACTCATTTCACCAGCCCTGGAGGTTAATTGTCTCTAGCTCCCTCATGTCTCTTATTGATTAAGAGCGTGGGCTGGGGCAGCTCAACTCATTGGCACCGATTCACATCTTCACCAGAAGGCAGGGCATTGAACCTTGTCACTCCAGGGAGGACTGTTCCATCCTGGGCTTGCCCACAGGGACCCGAACCCCTGACCACCACCGGCATAGGCAATATCCTTTGTTGAACAGCCTGTGGAATTGCTCTAGGCTGGTCTTACTCACTGTGAAGAAAAAGGAGCAGGCCATGGGAAAAGTCATTCTCAGCCACAGCAGGCGTGAGAGACGCTGCTAGCAAGTGCTGTCCTGCTCTCGCTGTGAAGCTGTCAATCTCTCCAAGATGACACTCCGTGACGGGCCTGTCATAGTTCATCATCGCTGATTGAGACACAGGACCCTGAGCGCAAGTTACAGACAACAAGTCCAAGAACAAGTCTAGACATAAAATGTTTGTCAGGCAAAGGCGATAAAAGAAACAAGACGCAGCCCATAAGGACTGCCATCAAAAAGTACTTCCATTTTTTTTTCCTCGAAAGAGGAGCGACCTTGCAGTAAATAAAAGAAAAAGCAATTTATCTTCTTCATGTTCAACATATTGGAGAGCAACCAACTGTCGTGGAAAATACACAAACAAACCACAACGTTTTCCTTATTCCATCTCTCAGGTTAAAAAAAATTGATCATCCAAAAAATGAAAATTCTGTCATTATTTACTCAGCTTCATGTCGTTCCAAACCTGTATGCTGCATTTCCGTTTAAGAATCTTTAAGCTTTTTTTCCATACAATGACAAGGTGTCCGTACCAGTATGTCAAGCACTGTACAAGTAGTCCATATAACTATATTAATAAGGAATAGACATAAAAATAATCAGAAGACATGGACTTCCTCTATGGTGTTTTGACAATTTTATTAAATTTTTTCCATACAATGACAAGGTGTGTCTATACAAGTACTGTATGTCAAGGACAAGTCCATATAACTATATTCCAAGCTCGAAGCTATACAATAGCTATGTGTAAGGAATAGACATAAAAATAATCCGAAGAAATAGACTTTCTCTATGGTGTTTTGACTATTTTATTTTATTTTAGTCCATGGAAAAAAAACAACAACATAAAGGTTGGGAACAACATGAGTTTGAGTAAATAATTATTGAATAATACATTTTGGGTGAACCATCACAAAACCAGTGAGCTGAATCAAATTTAATTAAAAAGCTGAATCTGATCTTTAATTCCAGTATGGGATGAAACCAACAGTAGACGCTATGACAAGTTTCCTCACTACATTCAGTCTCTTTGCAAAGCCTCGCTCCCTGTCCACCCACCGCCATCTGCTACGCTCGGCTTTGGACACACAGCTTGGCATTTTGTCCGGGGCTGGCAGTTCACCGTGGCAATAACCAAATGTGCCCCTGGTCCTTACAGTTGTCAGAAAAACAGACATAAAAAGAGTGACAATCCCGAGAAGCGTGTTTGTGTGTTACGACAGAAGTAGAATAACTCATCACCTTGCTTTTTAAAGGTGTTACTGTCATTCAAAACCAAAAACCTGTGAAACTGTGATTCACGGCTGCGGGTGCACTTTTACACAACAGAACTATAAACAAAAAGTTACATAGAGTAATTTACATTTAGACACAACATGGCCAGCTCTTCTGGTTAGGTTTGTACATGAAACTAAAATAGTTTGTACTTTTTACAGGAATGTTTATGTTGCAAATACAGGCAAGATGAAATATCACCATTTATGAAAAGTCACTTGTCCAATTAAATTAGTGGAGCGAAACAAACTCTATGTATAATGAATATTATATAGTATATAGTACTTATTATATGTTATAGAAATTTTTATTTTAATATGCAGTAAAAGGAATTGCATACAATTGCATACAACTAAGCATTGTTTGGAAAATTTGTAATGACTCAGGAATGAGGAGAAAAACTGTTTGGAAACGTTCTATAAATCTTTTTGTGACACTGATATTACTAAAGCCTTTTTCCCAGAGAGATTGTATTACAGATAGTGACATGGACGGCTTACCAAGCCAATGCTCTCCTGTTATCTTGCCAAATCCTTCACGATAGGCTTCCCAGTCACGGAAAAAGTTAACAGAGCCATCTTCTCTGCGTTGAATCACCTGTAAAAAGACAAGTTAGAATGTCATTGTTGTACAGTTAAACTCTTTTTTATCAACCCCCATGCAGAGGTGATTCGTGCATTAGCCCCCTACAACAGGAAAATGAACGATTATCATTTCCACAGCGTTAATGCAAACTGGAACCTCCCCTGATTACTTGTGGTGTAGTTACAATATTAACCAACAGGGGCGAATACTAACCCCTGACCCATTGGGCTAAACTGCCTTTATGAGGGATGGATGCATGATATATTATTACCATATCAGGCTGATATTAGATTTTCTTTTTTATTCATCAAAATCAGTTTGTTTATAAATATAAATAAAATATCACAGTTTAATTTGTTTTATTTATATATATATGAGATTGATAAAATATTGTTATAATATATATTAGGTGATATCAAACATAAATTGTGCATGCATTCTCTATTTATTTAGATTAAATTTAGATTTGCTGTTGTCTAACACTCAAACTTAATCTTTCAAAACATTCATAATTGAATAATACTGATAAATGTCATCTTTAGCAAATCCCAAAACTAATATGCATGCACATGTATTATATATAACATAAAATATTTTTTGCATACTGTACATTATAATGTTGTGAAGCCTAATTGCGCTTGTAGCATTTATTGAATTATTTTCTAGTGTGTAATTTTTTTTATTTATTTATACAAAATACTAAAGAATTTTACTATCTATCAGCCATAACATGAAAATAATCTGTACTGGCCAGAATCTGTGCATCCGTCATTTTTGAAGTTACCTTTCAGTATTGAATGAAATACATATATTCACATTTCTCTGAGCTTGTCAAACCACGCTCTAGGATTGTATGTGGTGTATGTGATGCTGTCTAAGAATTTGGCTTCTCTTTGGAACAGTCTTTTTTGACAAGAACGCACCTACAGTATGATGCCTCAAAAAGCTGTTTAGGTATGTCACTAGGTTTTGGAACATATAGGTTTTGTGACAATTACTAGACAGGCGAGTACAGCATCTTATCATTATCTTATGTCAACCCTTTGTTCACTTCTTCTTAAAACCAGAAAGATAATGAATCCTAGTGTTTCAGTCTCTAGGTAGCTTACACACTGTCTCTTTCCTGCAGGTAGATCCTTTGTCTTTGGTATGCAGATGTATTCTTTACTCTTAGAGGAATGAAAGGGAAACATGTAAATTGACTGGAGATGGATATTTCAGGAGTGCGGTACAGAGGACGAGTGTAGAGGGGTCGGGGTCCTCAAGGGAAAGGTGACGCATATGTGGAATTCAAAGTGAAATTCAGACACTAATTGACTCCTGATCCCTTTATAGAAGATTAATCAGGCAGGCAGTGGATCAATGGCTGGTGAAAATGCCAGCAAAGGAGAAGTCTTGCCATCAATGTAAATGAGCCAAGCACAGTGCCCTCCTCACATGCTCACCAGTGCTTGCCAAGACCAAAACACACATTCCTCCAGGGACAGTTCCCAGAGGGACATCCTCACCTAAACAAGACAGGGACGAGGAAATCCACCTTCCAACCTCAATTAGAAATATTACAATTATGTACCTGTTTATGAGAAGACAGAGATGTCAATGTGTTTGTTTCAAATAAGGCACACACATGCGTTCTTATACTTACAAAGAATAGTGTACTCAAAAATGTACTTTTTGTCTTTGAATACAACAGGTGATTTTTTTCCCAATCAATTTCTTTCTGTAAACAAATTTGTTAATTTTTTGGCTCTATCTGATATATCTTTATATATATTTTATTATTTTTTAAATATATATATTTTTATTATATATATATATTTACACATGTACACAGTATATATATATATATATATATATATATATATATATATATATATGTGTGTGTGTGTGTGTGTGTGTGTGTGTGCGTATTATATCATATTTTTAAGTACTAAATATTTAATATTTTCTGCGGGGCAAAAAGAGTGAATTTTTACCAAGCAATTACATTTTGTGAACAAATACATCAACAATTTCATACTTATAATTAATATTTGTTACAATTATTTAAAATAAGAAATATTTCACAAATGTATCAGATTTTTTTGTAATATTTTAATATTATAACTGTTAAGACAGTAATAAATAAACAGAATTAACGATTTCATACAGTTATCAGATTTTTAGTATTTTTAAACATAACTTTTATTAATTATTGCAAGATAGCAATACATAGACACAGAATTAACGATTCCCCCTAACCCCTGACTATGAAATGCAACATGTACTTTGTGCACTGCGCTATGAATTGCTATGACGCGTGAAAATCAGGTTTGTGACGCTTGAAGCGCATGCATTGACGTACTTGCGTTGGAGTATGTTTCAGGCCTGAATGTACTGAAGGTGTTTTTTCCTCATTAGTTTACGTTTAGCTAAGGGGTTTTATGTGCGATGACACACAACATATAGATTCTGAAGAGAAGACCTTTGACTGAGACCTCCCGGGCATGTGATCTTGGAAAACACAGCCGCTCTCTCAATAAAACATGCCAACACTCGGTGCAGGTGCTTTGGGCTGCATTCAAAATTAATGGATGTGGCTTGACTCTGAATAAATCCTTTCATTGGTTCTTCTTCCAACTCACAGAGCAACCAATTTTTTTTTTTAATTATTCACCATAATCTCTGTAAATGAACACTGAGTCACCTCTGAGCAGTGGGCTCACTTAATCTTTATTGAACCTCGAGTATAAAACAGGTAATTAAAATACAGGGAAATTTTCATGTTCCGATAAATATTTCATAAGACCTGCTTTGAATATTCCCACCGGCGCAGCATGAGCAGACTTCAAGCGAGGCAGCGTTTAGGTGTTGGAAAATCAGATGCATGATTCAGGTGGGCACATCCCGGGCCATTCCCAGGGTTCAGAGAGGGGATACTGGGGGGGTTGGGGGCTGTCACTGCACACTGAAACGGCTGACTAAAAATACTTAATATGCATATAAAAAATATACAAATAAAGATTAGGCTGTCAATTTTACACATTCATTTTTAAGACATATCAGGGCTGGCTGTTGCAGCGTATGAGGTAAGTTGTCACAGTCTAACCTGCCATTTAAAAAATTAAATAACTATGAAATGCAAATCAATTCATGACGCTACAACAACGTTAAAGGGAAATAACAAAAAAAAATCATACATTTATGCTAAATATATGTATATAATAATAGCATAATATGTATAAATTATATATATATATATAAAATGTCAATCAATATATATATATATATATATATATATATTTATACACACATATAATTTTTTTAATTTATGGAACAGCTGACTGAAAATAATATGTATTGCATATTATTATTATTATTATTGAATATGACACACATATATATATATATACACTCACCGGCCACTTTATTAGGTACACCTGTCCAACTGCTCGTTAACACTTAATTTCTAAGCAGCCAATCACATGGCGGCAACTCAGTGCATTTAGGCATGTAGACACGGTCAAGACAATCTCCTGCAGTTCAAACCGAGCATCAGTATGGGGAAGAAAGTTGATTTGAGTGACTTTGAACGTGGCATGATTGTTGGTGCCAGAAGGGCTGGTCTGAGTATTTCAGAAACTGCTAATCTACTGGGATTTTCACGCACAACCATCTCTAGGGTTTACAGAGAATGGTCCGAAAAAGAAAAAACATCCAGTGAGCGGCAGTTCTGTGGGCGGAAATGCCTTGTTGATGCTAGAGGTCAGAGGAGAATGGCCAGACTGGTTCGAGCTGATAGAAGGGCAACAGTGACTGAAATAACCACTCGTTACAACCGAGGTATGCAGCAAAGCATTTGTGAAGCCACAACACGCACAACCTTGAGGCGGATGGGCTACAACAGCAGAAGACTCCACCGGGTACCACTCATCTCCACTACAAATAGGAAAAAGAGGCTACAATTTGCAAGAGCTCACCAAAATTGAACAGTTGAAGACTGGAAAAATGTTGCCTGGTCTGATGAGTCTCGATTTCTGTTGAGACATTCAGATGTTAGAGTCAGAATTTGGCGTAAACAGAATGAGAACATGGAACCATCATGCCTTGTTACCACTGTGCAGGCTGGTGGTGGTGGTGTAATGGTGTGGGGGATGTTTTCCTGGCACACTTTAGGCCCCTTAGTGCCAATTGGGCATCGTTTAAATGCCACGGCCTACCTGAGCATTGTTTCTGACCATGTCCATCCCTTAATGGCCACCATGTACCCATCCTCTGATGGCTACTTCCACCATGTCACAAAGCTCTAATCATTTCAAATTGGTTTCTTGAACATGACAATGAGTTCACTGTACTAAAATGGCCTCCACAGTCACCAGATCTCAACCCAATAGAGCTTCTTTGGGATGTGGTGGAACGGGAGATTCGCATCATGGATGTGCAGCCGACAAATCTGCGGCAACTGTGTGATGCCATCATGTCAATATGGACCAAACTCCCTGAGGAATGCTTCCAGCACCTTGTTGAATCTATGCCACGAAGAATTGAGGCAGTTCTGAAGGCAAAAGGGGGTCCAACCCGTTACTAGCATGGGGTACCTAATAAAGTGGCCGGTGAGTGTATATATATATATATATAATTATTTAGGATATGATTAATCGTTGCCCAGCACACACACACACACACATATATATATATATATATATACATACACACATATCTTTTTTTTTTATGGAACAGCTGACTGAAAATAATATTACATATTATTATTATTATTATTATTATTGAATATGACACCCACATATACATACAGTATACATTAATGTCTTCGTGCTACTAATTTGTGCGCAAATAAACATTTTCAGCAAATATTGGTTACTTGTGATTAATATGATTACTGTATTATTCTCATCATGAATATTCAATCTGCATTATTTTAATCATGAGAACCGTCTTCACCTCTTGCTGTTGTGTTCCTCTGTGCATCTGTTTCCTAATACTGGAGCCACTCTCCAGCTGATGTGTCCCAAAAG